GACCGCTGGCGTCGGCCTCGCCTGACTGGGCTGGCCCCGGAGCCCGGCTCCGGCAGCCGTCGTCCTCATCCAAGGGTGACAGCCCGGAGCTGAAGCCTCGCGCGGTGCACAAGCAGGTCAGTGCTGTCGTCCGAGGGCGGGCCATCATCCCCCATGTCGCGCTGCTCCTCCTGGTCATCTCACCTGTGCCCAGCTGCCATCCCACGCTGAGTGATGCCGCACGTGGCCCATCCCGCCGGCCTGCCACGCACACCACCTCCCCTCCCCCGGGGGCCACTGGCCCCTGCCCGAGTCCTTGAATCAGGGACAGCGTGGCCTGAGGGTCTCTCTGCCACTTCTCCCAAGGGCAGTGGGGGTCAGGGAGAGAAAGGAGGGAGGGCTCTATCCATCTCCAGCTGGAGGCCTGATAAAGCCCTGCCCAGGGTAGGAGTCAACCAGACCCCCAGCACGCCCCCCCTACCCCCACCCCCCCCACCTTCGTGTCTCAGCTGGCCTCCAGGGCTCAGCTGCTGGGGCGAATGGTGTTCCTGTCACCCTGGGGCCACACACAGTATGTGGGACAGATGTGTTGTGACTTGCATGACCACCTGCCTGGCCGAGCTCACTTGCTCTCACCTGGGCGGCAGAGAGCGGTGCTTGGGCCACCTGGGCTCTTGACTCCGCCTCAGGCCGCCATCGAGAATGGGAGTTCCTGAGTTGGGGGTGGCATCGGTAGGCGCCTGGCCAGCTGGAAACCCCCTGCCCCTGCCATGCCTCTGAGCCACTTGTCCCCGTGACTCACCTCGTCCCATCCCCCTGTTCCCTCCAGCCCCTCACGGCTGTGTTTCATTGTAGGGCCCTTCACCCGTGAGCCCCAATGCCCTGGACCGCACGGCCGCTTGGCTCTTGACCATGAACGCGCAGTTGTTAGAAGACGAGGGCCTGGGCCCAGACCCCCCCCACAGGGATAGGCTAAGGAGTAAGGAGGAGCTCAGCCAAGCAGAAAAGGTAAAGCCGGACCCTGGCAGTGTGGGGCAGGGCGGGGCTGCCTGCCCGACGACGTTCTCTCCCCTTGAGCCCTGAATGAAGGGTGCTGCTTCTTCCTGTGTATGGCTAGTCCTCTCTAAACCCTTGGTCCCCCATGAGGATGGCAGCCAGTGGAATCTGGAAGTAGAAGCAGCAAGAAGGGCTTAGTTCAGAGCTGAGGATTCCTGTATAGGCTGCACACGAGACTCACTGGAAATTGTACTGAATCCAGACTCCCAGGACTCGGTCCTCAGACCTCTGGGAGGCCCCTTCCCTGAGTGACCGGGCAGCTGAGTTTCTGAGAGTGCCGGACTTGAGGGCTGGGGGATGCCAAAGAGGCACATGGAGACCGTCGTGGGGCGCTTCGTGCATGAGCAGCGGAGTGGTGTGGGTCCCCAAGGCAGCCGGGAGGGCTGCCCCCCAGCCAGGCCCCCCGACTCTGGGTTTGTGCCTAGCCAGGGCCTGAGAGAGAAAGAGCCAGGGTGAAGGGGTGGGGCCAGACTGCTACTGCGAGGCTTGCTTCCCCCTAGGGAGAAAAAATGGTTCTAAAATATCCAGATTCCACCCCACCACGCACATCCAGCATTTGGCGGGGGCAGTGGGAGGGGCTTCTGTCCTCCCAAATTCTCCCTGCTGTTATGGCACCTGTCCTGGATCCATGGCTGGTTCTCATGTCCCCCTGCAGGCCCAGGTCAACACGGGGCCCCTTGCAAGGCCACCCCAGCATGGCAGCCACATCCCCCGCTTCCCTAGGTGCCCTCGCCTCTCAGCCCCAGGAAAGCCTGTAGCAGCCTCTCGGGCAATTCCACGGAGCTCAGGGTGGCAGCTCTCCCTCCTCCTGGCCTAAGGCGAGGTTCATGTCCATGCTGCATTCCGCCACCTTCCACCATCCCCTTAGTCCACTGCATCCACCTGCTTTCACCATAATTACGTGAAGGGGACAAGGGGATGTGGGGCACAGTGCTCCAAGAGCCAGCGTTTGGCTGGGCAGCAAGGAGAGCCAGCCTTCGCCCGGGCTCCCTGCGTGAGCCGGGCTGGGCTCTGCACGTCTCTGAGACTCCAGTTCCCACTTGTGAATTGCAAGGACCGCCCAGACCATTTGCAGGGGTCCGGCTGCAGCTGGGGTGTCCCCTTTCCTTGCTGCTCTGTGGCTGAACGAGCCCCTGTTTCTCTCACCCTCTCCACTACTAACCCTTACAGGCAAATCCAGGAGGCCTTGTTCCCTCGAGCTCCCTGGAGACCTGGGAGGGTCCTCCCTACCCCTCTCTGGCCAGCTCGGCAAGACTTGGGACGGGCCGAGGTCATTTCTCCCGGAGCCAGGCTCTCTGTGGATCCAGCTTTGCTGTAGGACCTTTGCTCTGAGTTGGGGCTGGTCTCTCGCCGCTCTCTGGATTTGCCGCCTCCTAACCTTTGGGCTGTCCTTTGCTGAAGTGAATTAGGCCTCCGTTGCCTGGGACTCAAGGAGAGGCTCTTCCTGTCTCCTCCAGCCCCCATACTGTCATGGCATCCTGGCCCCCAGCCCCTTGATTCTAGCCTCAGCCCCACCTGCCTTTAACCTCTCTGTCTCCCCCTTACTTCCCCACACCACTACCCTTGCTTTAGTTTCACATAGAGGCTGGGAGGCTAGGACCTTACCCCACTGGTCAGTCACTCTCCACGTGACCGGGTCACCTTGCCTTCTGGGCCTCGGTTTCCCCTCCTGTAGAGTCCCTATCTCTCAGGATGCTGTCAGGTCTTAATATATCTAAGAGTGTTTTTAACATGTGTTTATTGTATTAATGACGACAACAACAACCTCAGTGCCCTAGTCAAACCGTTACTTCCGAGATCTGGGTGTGAGTCTTCATTCCCTCACAGCTGTGAGGCCAGGCTGCAGGGGTGGGAGGTTGAAGCGGAGAAAGCCCCGGGTGGGGACAGGCCTTGCGTGTCACCGCCACCCCTCTGGCTGGGCTCCTTAGGAGTCTCCGAGCTGGGCTCCCTCCTACCCGTGCTCCCGCTTGGGCTCACGAGGTGTGCTCTTTGTCCTGGGTGCTGTGCCCCTGGCGCGCCGCCCCCCCTGGCAGGACCTGGCCGTGCTGCAGGACAAGTTGCGGATCTCCACCAAGAAGCTGGAGGAGTACGAGACCCTGTTCAAGTGCCAGGAGGAGACGACGCAGAAGCTGGTGCTGGAGTACCAGGCGCGGCTGGAGGAGGGTGAGGAGCGGCTGCGGCGGCAGCAGGAGGACAAGGACATCCAGATGAAGGGCATCATCAGCAGGTGAGAGCAGCCGGTTCTGGTCCCCCGCACACAGAGCAGGCAGGCCGTCCTCCTGATGAGGGGAAGGGCTGATCAGCCGCAGGATGAGCCAAGGGTGGAAGGAGGAGAGCGTCCCAGGCAGTGGGGACAGCATGGCACACGTGTGGCGTTAGGCAGCCTGGACTGCAGGAAGCCCTACCCGGCACAGGGTGCACTGATGGTGGAACGCGAAGTGGCAGGAGTGAGGTCAGACAAGGCCCTGTAAGGAGTCCTGTTTTCTTGGTAAGCCCTGTCAGGGGAGCTAGGATTGGGGGCGCCTTGAAACACAGTGAGGACCCAACTCTGGGCAGGAAAAGTAGGCATAAATGTCATTACATTCAGCAGGTGAAGGTGGTGGGGGGAGGAAGGCAAAATATCCCCCAAGTTTCTACCAAGAGCGTCTGGGTGTCTTGGTGCCAGTTGCTGAGATGAGGGTCTGGGGAGGGGAGCAGTTGGGGTGTCCCAGCCATTCCAGTTTAAGGTGCCTTTGGGTTACCTGGGAAAGATTTCCAGGGAACCGTTGGCTCTGATGCTGACTCTCACCTTTATTGATGGCTTAGATGGCATCCTGTGTTGATTTTCTCTCTCTCATTCTCTCTCTGTCTCCACCCATGGGTAGGGCGTCTGTAGGCAGGGAGCACAGTGAAGGTGTAGCGTCCCAGCCGTCCCACAGCGTCCCGATCGTGAAGTTCACGTCTTTATGACAGTAATACAAGGTAGCAGAGGAAATAGCGTGGACTTTCTAACTTGTTTTCACGGCATAAGAGCCTGTCATCTGGACAGATTTAGCAGGTGTGCCATACCCAGAAGTTTCCCCAGCTGGCCTCATGTTTTGTCCACTACAGAAACCCTTTCCAGATTCTTCCTACTTAGACTACCCGTTTCTCTGCTCCTAATTACTGTTCGTTTCACTTACCTATGGGTGTGTTCATTATAAAATGGTTAACGTAAGCAGAGATCCTGTAACCAGAGTGACTGTTAATCCACTGTTCACTTGACAGCCAGCTCTGTTCTTTGTGTGTGTGGTTCCGGGAATGGAAATGCTTCTCAAGCTAACCACCTCTTCCTCATTGTATCTCTTCTCTGAGGAGTGTGTGGTCTCTAAATTCAGTGGCTTACTTAGCGCATTTATTTCTACTATCACAGTGTATTTCCTCAGTAATGGAAATGTCAAATTAGATCAGTTTGGTTGCTAGCATTGTTTAACTCGAGATTCTTACCAGTTTTTGTGGCTACTTGTTTACCATTCTATCACTATTTGGGGAAAGGATATTGAATGTCTAATCATAATATGGATTTGTGTATTTCTCTTTTCTATTGTTTTCGATTTATGTACACTGAAACTCTGCAACCACATCTAAGATTGTTACGTGCTGGTGATGAACTGATCTCTATTATTATAACATCACCATCTTTATCCCTCATAACATTCTTTGTTCTGAAATCTACTTTGTTTGATGTTAATTACAGGTGTCTCAATTTATTTTGATTAATATTAGCCAGGTGTATCCTTTTTTATCCTTATACTTTTAACCTATTGGTGTCTTTCTATATAAATGAATTTCTTTTATAGACACCTTATTGGTTCTTGCATTTTATCTAATCTGACAGTTTCTGCCTTTTAATTGGAGTGTTTAGACCATTTACATTTAATGTAATTATCAATATAATTATGTATGAATCTCTTATCTTGCTGCCATTATCTATTTGTACCATCTGTTTTGTTCCCTTTTTTCCCCGGACTCTTTTGGATTGAGCATTTTTTATGATTGCATTTTATCGCTTATTGTCTTACTAGCTATGTCTCTGTTGTCACTTTAGGGCAGGAGTTGGAAACTTCCCATAAGAAGGCAGATAATAAATATTTTAGGCTTTGCAGGCCATATGGCCTCTGTAAGTATTCAACTCTGCTGTTGCAGCAGAACTATGTGTGTGGTGTGGCTATTTACAAAAACAGGCAGTGGGCCCAGTCGGGCCCTCACTCTCAAGCTATAATAGTAGCAATTCTGTCATTATTTTTGTTCCTTTGTACTTAAGCTATCTTTTTCTCTGGCTGTTTTTAAGATTTTTTTTTTTATCACTGATCACCGATAATTTGATTAAGATGGTCCTTGCCGTAGTTTCCTTCATGTTTCTTGAGTTTGAGCTTTTGGCTCTGTGAGTCTACCATCCTGCTTCCCCAGTCTCTTTCCTGGGAATCCCATCACACATACGTTAGGCTGCTTTATATTGTCCTACACTGCACTGATGCTCTGTTGTTTCCTTTTTTCCCTTTTCTTTCCTGCCGTGTGTTAGATCATTTCTGTTACTGTGTCCGCAAGGTTACTAATCATTTCTTCTTCAATGTCCAATCTGCTATTAATCCTATCAGTATTTTTTTCATTTCATTTCAGATACTGTATTTTTCACCTTCAGCCTTTCAGCTTGGTTTAAATTCTATTTCTCTTCCCATCATGCTCCTGCTTTCCTCTATTTTCTCAGCCACGTGGAATGTATTTACAATAGTTTCAGTGTCTACTAATTCTGTCATCCGTGACATTTCTGAGTCTGTTTTTATTGATTAATTTTCTTCCTGGTTATCCGTTACATTTTCCTACTTCTCTGTATGTTTGGTGATTTTTGGTTGGATGCCAGACATTGTGACTTTTGCTTAGGTGTGGAATGTTTTGTGTTCTTTTAAATGTTTTTGGGCTTTGTTCTGGGACACAATGAGGTTATTTGGAATTAGTCTGATTCTTTTGAGGCTTACGTTTAAGCTCTGTTGGGGTGGGTCTGGACAGCTTTTAATCTAGCCTAATCTGACTCCATATTGAGGCAGTTTCCTTCTGAGGATTCTGCTTTATGCCCCTGTGTTAGCACGTCTTTCTACCCTGCCAGGTAGGAATATTAACTCTTCCTGGGGCTGTTTTGTTCTCATGTTTCAGTGGTGCATGCAGACCAGTCCTCAGCCAGAGACTCAAGGGGAGCCCTCAGGATATATGTGGAGCTCTCTCTGTGTCTTCCTCTTCTTGGGTATGGACTCCCTGGGTCTCCTCTACTCCATGAGATTACTTCCCTTCTTTTTTTGTTTGGCCTGGACACTCCAGGCCGTGAGAGGGGCTCAGCTCGTGCATTCCCTTCTCTTAGGAGACACTGCCAGTTGTTCTGTGTCTGGACACCACTTTTTCATACATTTCATTCGGTTTTCTGGTTTGTTTATTGTGGTCACTGTTTGACGGCAGAAGGGTAAATCCAGTCCCTGTTACCCCACCAGCCAGAAGCACAAGTCTCTCCCCTAGAGTAATTTCCCTTCTGACTGACACCATCTAATGCCCGTCTTCTCCCTATTCCCCCCTTCCCCCTTCTTACAGGCTTTTCTCAATGTCTGATCTTTCTGTGACAAGGAATCCCCCCTTGGCATGGCCCCACACCCCTTCCTCCTGATCAGTGCTCCCCAACCGCTGATCCCACTGACTTCTCACAACAGCCCTGTGGGTACCTGCCCCAGCACCGTTGACCTCTCTGTGTACCTTCTGTGACAGGCGCTCAGTGCTCACCCAGGGGTTAGGGGACCGTTCTGCTGGCCTGGAGAAGTTGTGCAGGTAGAGAGGGGGATGAAGCCTTGGGAGTAGGTGAGCTTGTCTGGAGAGCAAGAGCGGGGGCTTGGGCAGACCCCAGTGGAGACATGCTGGGAGCAGGCAGGACAGGCATCTGCAGAGCAGTAGCCTTGGGGCTAGGAGGCAAACCCGGAGAGCGTGGGGTCCGGAAGCTAAAGGATGAGCATCGGAAGGTGGGTGTCATCCGCAGTGATTGACAGGTGTGTGAGGGACCGGCAAGGTGAAGCCAGAAAGGGTTTCAGGGAGGGAGCAGCTGGCAACAGACACACATATGCCTTAGTTCTGAGCCTCTGCAGACGGTATTCCTCCCGTCTTCCCTACGCTTACCCACATTCAGACTTGCTTGTCCCTCAGATGTCCGGTAAGTGCACCCACCCTCCAGCGCAGTTGCCTACTTCCTCTTCTCTGTTCTCATAGCCTCTAGGCTGTTGTCTGCCTGTCTGTGTCCCTGCTGCTTTGTGAACTTTTTGAGCGATGGAGATCTGTACTTTTCATCTCGCTACTTTGAGTGCCTGGTACATCTTGGCACGGCCTTGGTGAATGCCGAGTCGGCGGAGAAAGCCCTAGAGCCCTTCGGGGTTTCGTCTTCCCGCCTGTGCCATGGGTCTTACGGCATTACCCCACCTGCCCTGCTCTGGGAGGCGGTGAGGACCTAACCACCACCCCCAACCACCGTGGCTCCTGGAAGAACATCGGGAAATGGGCAGCTCCAAGGGTTTCCGGGGGATCTGGGAACAGAGTCTGGAGTAGGTAAAGCATAAGGAAGAAGTAGACCCAGCTCATGTCGGCTGTTGGAGGCCAGCTGGAGGGGCTCCCCTGCTGTGTCCCCACTGTGCAGGTGTGATGGCTTCTTCCCACAAGGCCCCACGCCCCCACACGCACCTCCTCACCTCCCTCAAGTGCCAGCTCGACTGTCCTTGTGTGTGGTCACAGGTTGATGTCTGTGGAGGAGGAGCTGAAGAAAGACCACGCGGAGATGCAAGCAGCTGTAGACTCCAAACAGAAGATCATCGATGCCCAGGTGGGTTCCGGCCCTGTGCTCAGCCATAGGCATTAAAGGACCTGGGTTGGGCAGCGGGTGACTTTGAGATCTCTACATCCTCATTAATGCCCCCCACTATAAAAGCTGAGGAGGAACAGGAGGCCAGGATCTCTGATCTGGAAAGTCAGATTTGAAGGTCTCCGTGGACCACACGCTCATGGGGACAGGCTGTGAAAGTGGTGGGGCAAGTCCTTCCCTACCGGGACGACTTGGTGGGCACTGCCTTTCACCAAGGGTACTGAGCAAGGACTGGAAGCGGTTGGGAGGGGAACGGGGATGGCTTCAGGTGACAGCAGGCTGGGCAAATGGAGCAGGGGGGCTCTTATCTGTGGCTCCCCAGCTGCATTGAGAGATGTGGCACATAAGAGACTGCGGCCACCATTCTCCTTCACTGCACTGTTTCCTCTCACTCACCCGGAAATAGGACCAGGCCTTGGTCAGACTGTAAACAGCACAGGCTGACCAGGAGCTGTGACCTCTGTGTCACACACTCGCACATGCATGTGAGCCAGGGCGCACACCCTTGGGGCTCAGGTGGCTGACAGGTGACACCACTAGGGCTGCTGTTTGGGTGAGCAGCAGTGGTGTGAGAGACGTTGTCAGAAGGCAGGCTCTGGGAGGTCTCTGTCGGTGACGTCGAGGCCTCCTCCTCTTCCTCCTCCTCTTCCTCCTCCTCCTCCTCCTCCACCCGGCCCCCTCCC